GCAATCCTGGACTATTTTGTATTGTTGCTTTGGAATTACACTTCTACACTAGCCAACTTGAAACTCTGTCTGAAACACTCCTGGTCAATGTGAAAGCTACTTCTCCAAGGTGCAACTGAAAGATAACAGGATTAACTGTAACAGACCTTGGCAAAAGCTGAGGTTAACTGGGATTTACTCTTTTGTAAAACTACTGTGAAGAACATCCGTAAAAGAAAACGATAATTTTACATGTCAATGGCTGCAGCACTGGCGTGGTACGAGCAACTCCATCTGAGCTACAGGACACTCAAAACTTCCAATACCAGCATAGGGAGGCATGTTCTCATCTACCCTGAAGTGACTTTTGGAGTTGAGTTTTACCATCCCAGCTCCAGAAAGTCAGTGGGCACCTCCTCTGCTTTCTAGTTTTAGCGACCCGCGTTCATTTGATGTTCTGCTCACTGTTAGCTGTGGGAAATGGCCTCCTCGGTCCCCCAGCCACATCAAGGTCCTCCCACTACTATGATCTCTATCTGTTGATCAGAGCATTTGCTTTGTTATCACCAAAAAAATCAAACTTTCCAGCATGGTATGTTACCTTCAAAAGATCACTTTGTGGTTATCAACCCTGTTTACATAGTTTATTCAGACTCCAAAAATGGCAACGCTCCACCTCAAACACACCTCACTGAAGATGATCAGTCTTTTTCCCATACTGAAAGTATTCCACACAAGCTTTTTTTCACCTGGCCATCAATGCCGGGGAGGATCTGCCCTCTTCTGTGGTGTACCTGGCTGCAACCAGTAACTCTGTAATCAATGAGAGTCAAAACCTCTCTCTGGAACGTAGCCCGGTGGGGTCCGCGTTGCTGTCAGGCACCCTCATCGACATGGAGAAAGGCATCTCCACCCTCCCCTTCTCTCAAGGCATTTATGTCTCTATTTTGGATGTATTTTCCTTAAATTGAATCAGCTATAGTTACTAACATGTTTTGTAATTACTTTCTAGAAATGATGGCACAGAGGAGAATTTAGTGCTCTGCACAGTTTGCTGTTATTCCAAAATAAAATTAGATTTTCAATCTTTTTTTCCCCCCTGCTCCACCCCCACCAGGATAGCATTCATCACTTGTTCCACTGGGAACAATTTGTTAAACTCTGCCTCTTTCAATGGTCCTTTCCACAATCAGTGTTCCTCTTCAGAAACTTAGTATTCTGTGAGATTTGATTTAATGCTTTAGTTATAGACTGTGACCACTAAAACCAATCTCCACGAAACCTAGACAGAGCTGATGTCCATCTGCTTTTTCACACATTACCTGTTGAGTGACCTAGCCCTGGATCACTTGCAAGTGCAAGGTATCCACCTAAGACCAGTTCTTTACCTGGAGTGAACACGGGTTACTTTCCCGTTGGGCTGGTCTCATCTGTTAGATCAGATTGTCCCTTCTTGCAGCAGCAGCAGTTTCCCCAATCCCTGCATCACCCGTTCAGTTCTTCCAGCCCACCATTACAGTTACACCATCCCAAGCTCCAAGCACTTAAAACATCCTGCTGGGAATTTATGCAGTTGGCACAGCTCTTGGCTACCACGCAGAAGCCTCACTAACATACAAAGGATCTCCTGCTATCCCTCCCTTCACAGTATTTAGAGCACCACAATGGCACAATGCCATCCTCTTCCTCTCCAACCCCAGCTAAAAAAGGAAAATCCAGAGCAGATGTTAGAATCTTTAGCCCCACTCATAATGGGTTCTTCACACGCTTCGTCCCTGGTGCAGAAGTCAGGGTCACCTCCTTCCCCAAAAAGCCCCCTGGGCTAAGCAAGCCTCTGCATTGGGGTGCAGCTGGATGAAGCTGTTCTTTGGGAGCTGGACTCAATGATCCTTATGGGTCCTGTCCAACTCAAGATACTCTAGGATTCCCTCGCTGCCAGCAGCAATGAGAAGAGCCCACGGGGCAGCCTCAGGACAAGGAGCAACACCGAGCCAGCCTGCTGCCACCATCCAGCTCCTCCAGCAGCATGGGCCAGGGGACATTGGGCAGGAGCCCTTGAAGGGCAAAGCTTATCTAAAAGGCTCCAGAGCTCTGGAACAGTCCTACACATTGACTGCTTTTTGTAGAGAACACGCAAGAGAAAGAATTGTGTTTTAAAAGACAAAAGGCTCCAGTTTGTGACTTCAGTTTCACACCACTGAAGCTGGAGATAATTAAATCCTGGTTTTCAATAGCCACTTCAAAATGAATGTCTCTGTGATGCAGAGAACACTGAAAGTGGGAAGATACTTTTTATTTAAACTCAAAATCTACTTTTACTCAAGAATCCTAATTCTCCCCGGCTGGAACTTTCTCTTCCTCCTGGCATGGGTGGGAGTAATGGAAAGATGAAGAAAAAAAGAGAAAAATGAATGGGGAAGAGCAGCCAGGGCCTGTCACATGAACATAGAGAATAAGGAGGGAGACAAACAACATGCGACAGATCCCCTGTATCCTGCAAACCAGACGAAAGCAACTCCTCACCTTGCAAAGGTCCAAGGGGTAGTACAAAACTTCCTCACCCATGAAAGACACCAGTTTTACTCACATACTCAAGACTTTACCCCAGGACTGCACAAAATGCCAAATTCAGCACCATAACCACCTATCACAGTACCACAGAATGGCAAAATCTTACTTCACTTTTGCTGTTTGACTTCCTTGTTCTTCTCCTTTGCTTTCCATCATTGTGCACACAGCTTCCCATGCTCTTGCTTCTGGCTGGACTGTGAAGAGCAGCTTTTTCCAGAGCTCTGCAGCCCCCAAGGCCGGGCAAAGGCGTCAAGCACAAGCTGCGAACCAGTGGGTGCAGAGAGGAACAGCCCCTCACCAGGGGCCCCGCTCCACCCAAAAGCTATTTTGGTGCTAAGTGCTGCCAGGTGCTGAGCATCTGCAAAGCCCTACCAGCTGGGGGGCACAGGGGCAGCCTATTAGCATCGTAAGGCCTCCCTGCTCCCATGGGCTGAGGCAGAGTCTACAGGACAGGAGGGCATCACGTCTTGTCATGCCCGTCACTGGGAGGCCAGTGCACTTCTGGCTGCTTTCTCTGGTGAAGGGCACCTGCAAGGGAGCAGTCTTCTTCAACAAGCCCCCCTAAGGGCACAGAGGTGAGGAGGAGGAGGCTCAGCTTTTCCCCTGCTCTCTGAGATACCAATACCTGTGCTGATCAGCCGTTTTGAGTGGGACCTTTGCAGGAGACACTCTTATGCTGTTAAAGCTGTTACTGTAGAACGTCCTTCCTGCAGCTTTAACCTCAAAGCATGATACAAAGCATAAAATCCCGAAGTTCGAAATCTGCTTCTGTCCTAAATCACTAGACAAAGGACTACCTGATATACAGGAGAAGAAAAATAAATGGGAATGAAGTTCTGGTGGTGGGATCTTGGAGCTGACAGAAGAATCCTGGCCCATCAGAGTTGGCAGCTCACTCTCCTGTGATGAGCCACGCTCTGGTCCTGCAGGGTGAGGAGAAGGAGCAAGGCTCAGGCTGAGCACTCCCACGCCTCTTCTCTGTACCAGGCTCACAGAGGAACGCTGGCACAGACTCGTCACTACCTGCAATAAGCCACACGTACGTACTTCTTACATACAAAGAGGTTGTAAAATACTTCTGCCCTGGTGCAGAAAGGAAACAATTCAAAATATCAGATAAAAAACATCTTTCTCACTCATCTCCTGCTACTTCAGCTATATGTTACGCACATTCCAGTCAAAAGAAAACTTGATGTTTCATTCTGTAAGAGACATATCCAAATTTCTGGCAAATGTACAGATTTTAATTTCTTCTTCCTTCCAGTGATACATTTGATGTTCTTCAGTCTCTGGGATCACTGGATCTCCCAAAGAACACAACAGCCAAGTTCAGAGGTCAGATTTCCCAGAGGCAGAAGTGACCAACCTGCAAAGCCAAGCAGAACACGCGTTGTTCAGACAGGTCACGTACAGGCCGTTTCCAATTCTGGGAACATACTAATAATCTGAGTTTTTACACATATATAATCATATGCCCCAAGTATGCTGTAATTCTTTATTAAGTTTGCAGCTGTTGTCTTCCTCATGAATTTATCAGCTCGCATAGTTCTTGGGTAGCTGTTCTTAATTCACCTCAAACAGGCAAAGGGTGGGGAGGGCCACGAAGAAGCCGCGAGAGAAAAAAAAAAGCTACTTAACTCACTTGTTAGAAATGGAGAAAGAAAAAAAAACAAGAAAAATATGGCTGTTCAAGAGAGAATTCAAAAAAGCTATTGCTGTTTTAAGAAAGTATGAGAGGCCACAAAGGTACAGTCCAGGCCTGAACAATTTTCACTGAGACCTCTTTTGTGGAAGTGGAATCACACACTTACTCTCTCTCTGGGTTACCCAGCCAAATAAACTGGAAGGAGCATTACTGAATTTGGGAACTGGGCCTTCCAGGAGCGAGAACAGTCGAAGGAGACGACAATTCCAGTCCGAAGCCATTGCGAACCAGTGGAAGAACACCCTTGGCTGTCAGTGGGTCTTTGGTGGACGTGTCTGTTCAAGTCCCATCATGAAAAGGCAAAGGATGCGGTGCAGACTGTCCCTGCATTGCAGCTCCTGCTAAAACTGACCGGGCACGCGCTTTGGGTTGGTAAGAGGTAAAAGACTCCTCTGGTTTCTTTTTGGAACAGAAGAACGTGAAATCTACCATAAGCCTTTCCTTTGCCTTGACCAGTTGCAACCGTTTCTAACGGTTTTGAATGGCTGTTGGACACAGCGCTGATGAAGACATGTTTTTTTTTTATAACACAGCATTTTACTTGTAATAGTATGCAAAGCCTTTCCTAAAACTTCCTTCATCAATTACCTGTCTAGAAAATGAAAAGTCGACGTTGCAAACTGCCAGATCCTTAATATGATTGACTATGGCTGCTTTTAGTCAGCAAAAGGTCTCCAAGTAACAAACGGCTTGGCCATTTGTTCTCTGACAAGAAACACTGTGGAGGCTTGAATATCATTTACGCTCAATCAAATACTAATGCTGATGGAAAACTCCGGGTTCCGGTGACTCTTGACGTGCCCCGGCGGGGCACGGAGAAATGTATCGCCGCTCAACGTGCCCGCCGCGTAATGAATCCCAACGGCTCTCCAACTCTTCATCTTGCCAGGCCTGTGGCTGGAAGATAGGCATTAATTGAAATGACAAATTGCACCAACGTGTGTTTCTCAAGTTGGCACTGCCCTGCGAAACGCTTATGAAACTGTTAACTACGGAAAACAAAAGATGGATGGAAGAAGATCAATTTTACCAAATGATTTTTATGGAAAAAAAAAAACAAAGAAAAGCTTGGTGTATGCAAAACTCACAGATATCTCATGTTTTGTAGCTGGGGAATAGCAATAATTCTTCCTCGTAATGGGTCTTTCTGATGTCAGATTCAGAAAGGTTTGCACTTCATTATCAATGAGTCCAAATCAAAGAAGTGACTTGAAGAGGTAGAAATTGGCCTTGGGATATAGCAAATACAACACATCTCCCCTCTCACCGTATACGTGGTGTTTACAAGATTTTAAGATGCAGTTCAAACAAATATTTTATGATATAGTAAAATTGTCGACTATGGCATAAAAAGCCATAAGATTTGGAAGTGTTCTATGATTCTGTGATTTCTCTTTTTTTTTTTTTTTTTTTTTGTGTATACACTGGTCAAAATAAGATCGACTGTAGAAAAGAACAGATTATTAAACTGCAGTGTAGTAAACATCAATATATTGTAGCTATGTTTTTCCTTTAAAACATTTTGCAGAATAATTACAGCTGGAACAAAGGAAGCTCAGGAAATTTCAACACTAGAGCTTTTTTGGGAGGAAAAAAAAAAACAGCCATAAAGAAGCTCTGATATTCATTTCTAAATTCTAACAAACACTTTGCTTATACTATGCTTAGCCACATCTGGCCTTCAGCTTTGGAGCTCACCCGGTTTCCTGCAGAACCAGAGGAAACCCAGCTCAAAACTTAGGTTGTGCTATTTTCTAAATGGCATAACCAGCAATTTAACTAAACTAGAATTTTCCTCTGTGACATTTAGTAACACAAATGAAGTAATTTTCCTGAAGAAGAGAGAAGCAACTCCCCTTTTTCTTTATTTAAAATTCCAAGTGATCCCTCAGTGGCACACCCAAGCTTTAAAATAAGGAGCAGTAATGGATTATTTCATTATTTCCATGTTTCCTCTTGGACATCCCTTTAAGAATTATAATGCATCTAATGTGCACTTGCAGCTACCTCAATAGGAGGAGTCTGTACAGAGAGGAATCCCAGCACCTACAAAGACAACTACTAAAAACGGCGAAGAGAACTTTTACCCTAAAGCATGACATTCTTTTAAGGCCTTGGTCTTGCAAATATTTAGCACATGAGTAGTCCTACTAAAGCAAGACTCGTTCATAGGCTTTTTCACTGGTGGAGTTTTATTTATATATATTTTAGACAACATATTATGAAAGTTGGAAGGAGGAAAATCAACCGGTTATCCGAGGTGAGCTGCCCGTCTGCACGCGTACAGCCTTCGACACCGCGTCCCAACACAGAAACCTCGGCGGAGTCAGTGGCTAAGCCAAACCCTAAGGTTGTGTAATAAAGAGAAATTCCTTAAGGTTTCTTCTCTTAATAGCAAAAACCAATACTCCCAAGAGAATATCTTTCCCCTCTAGTGCAATATCCTGCAGATGTGACTAAACCTAAAAATAATTTCTAAGAAAAGGTTCCAGCATTTAACACAATGTATGTACTGCCTTTCTAACCCTTCCTTCGCTCACTGTCAAATGATGATGTAAAGAATTACATAAGAAAACAAACAAAAAAAAGATAAAAATTAACTTAATTTACACAACCAATAAAAAAGTTTAAAGCAATGATAGAAAAAAATAATATAAAGGCTAGATACATTAAATGCCGGTTCAACAGTATTAAGCTTTGGTAGAACAGTTAAAAGAGCATAGCACCAATAAAATCCAATGTCAATACACGCTTCAGTACGCATGAGCTGTGATGAAAATGTAAATTTTGGCAAGAAAAGTAGTGTATGTTCCCTGACGCCACAGTTTCATTTCAACATCCAACAAAAAGTCTTTAGGCTCTTTCACTTGTCGCTGAAGATAGACAATGCCTGTGTACGAGTTCAGCCTTCGAGTGCTGAAGTAGTTTTCTTCATTTCCCTTGTTGATAGTAAGGATTATGTTGTCTCCAGCATAGGCAGGTGATGGTCCAATACGGAAAATATGAGCTGGGACCACAATATTGGTTTGGAAGTTCAGCTGGTAATAGGTAATGCGCACCGGGGTGTTCTGGCAGTCCAGATAATTAAAACAACTGATTCGTTCACACCTCCTAAGAGATGAGAAATGAAGCACATTCAGTGTCCACGTCATAGCAGGTAAAAATACATGTATTTCAGAGTACTGCAAAAACATTAGACAAACAGGAGTCCCAAACTTCAGCTGTGTAATTACCAGCTGCTTGTTCTGCTTTTACAGCGCCCGTAAAGCCTTTGTAAATGATGCAATTGTCAGCGTACAAAGTGTAAGACAAAGATCATGGACATGGGCAGCTGTGTCGGGAAGCTCTACAAGGATGAAAGAGCCAGAGTCATGCTGCAAGCAGCACAGAACTTGGAAGAGGAGTCTGTGATTCACCACTGACGGCACAAACCCGGGACAGTGCTCCAAGAAAATAAAAACAAAACCACTTTAAAAGGTAGCTGAAACATGGGAATGGGAAGCAAGCTCCGCGACTTGCAAAGCGGCTCAATTCTGTCAGGCAGGAAAAGTGTGGTTTAAGTCATAAGCAACTAACTATGGCTTCCCAAAGCACTGGCAGCCCCTGAGGCAGGGATCGGGGGGGAGAGATTTTGGGGCCCCAGAGCCTCAGCTGCTGAGGAGCTGTGAGCCGGGGGAGTATGCCATTCCCAGAACCCTGTAGCCTGGCAAGCGCGTTATCCCGCTCCCCTTCAAAGTTTCAATGCTCTCTGAGGAGCTGCAATCTGAATATTAAACAGGGAGCCCCAAAACCACTGTAAAAGTAGTGCACTGAGCAGCCTGGCAGCTGCTGCAAGGATATAAACAGCACAGAAGATCTCCTTTTTTTAAAACTTAATTATAAACAGAGCTCTTTTAGAGCTGCAAGCTCTGATGACTGCTGTTAGAGCAGCAGCTGGAGGGCAAACGGGGGCTCCGGGCCTTGGAAGAAGGAAGAACAAACGGACAGAAACTTGGGATGTGGAAAATCTACGTGCTACAGGTACCGACGCATCTTAGAGCTCGGAGTACTTACACCCTGCCCCAAACTACAGCAGCACGTCTCGTCCGCAGCCACGGGACGGGGCTGCTCGCGCGGTTGCGACGGCGATACTTACATGTCGGATACTTTCCTGTAGTTGGAAGGGCACTCGAAGGAGAGGCAGCGGAAGCTGCCCTGGATGTTGTAGCAAGTCTCTGCAGCTGAACAGTTATGGGTTCCTATCGCGCATTCATCGACATCTAACAAGAAGAAACACAAGGAAAGAGACATGCTAAGCTCAAAAATCAGTAGTCACCATTTATGGGCTGCAATATGCTTATGAGACTCCGCGTGCACGAGAAGCAAGAGGAATCCGTGGGTTTGGCTCTGCAAGCTGAGGGCTCTTGTTTTCACCGCTCAGTTGCTGTGTGTTACCTCTTCAGTACCTGTGGCTGCAGGCCAGGACCCCCCAGGAAACACATGGGGTGTGAAATGAACGTTCAGGTGAGGTGTGTCAGGCTCATCTTTGTGCACAGACACTTTCTGGCATTTGGAGTGACAGGGTAAATCACGACGATTCCAATTCTGCTAAAATTCAGCGGATAAAAATTGCCTTCCTTGACATTATCAGTTAGTAAGAGATGACAGCAGCACTCAGCAGTGTGTGCAACGAAGCAGGGAGCCCACTCTTCCCTGCAAGCAGCTTATGATCCTTTTCACGCTGATTGACAGTCCTTCCCTGCTCGACAGAGAGCGTGTCCATCGCAGCGGCCCAGGCCGGCCGCCTACGGCAGGGGAGGTTTGTTTCTGTACCTGTACTTGGCAAGCTCCTGTGACCCTAGTTATGCTCATTCCAAACACATCTGATGCAACACAGGGTCTAAATTCCAGTGGAGAATATACTTGAAAAGGAAAAAAGTTTGCAAAACCCAAGATCCTCCTGTCTTCCCACCTCCCACTGCAATGAAACAAAGCTTTCAAGGTTCAAATCAAACATGAACACCTAGACAGAAGTGCCTGTGTTGTCACACTGTCCCTTGCTCCTGAGGTGTCAGACATGTGCTGTAGGTAAGATGCTAAACTCGGCTGAAAGGAAACAGAATAAAATAATCAGATGGCGGTAGTCTAAGGCAGTGCAGCCCTAAACTTCTCAGACCAGCCAACCCGTCCATCCCCGCAGCCGCTGCGTAAGCTTCCCCCAGCTGTTCTGATGGAAGACAGTTCTTAAATAGTCTCCTGAAAGCGACGGGCCAATTTCTACAGCTTCACAGGTCACTGCTACTCCCTGAACCACAGCTTCACGCTTAGAGCTGGCCCATGTCCCCTGTGGTGTTCCTAAACGAGCTGTTCAGCACGTAAGCACGGCGCACGTGTGACGAGCTCAGCAGCTGGGGGAAGCACCTAACTGGTTTCGAACAGCAGAGCACGTGTGCGGACTGGTGCGCGGCGCAGACGCTGCGAGCGAGCACTGGGGTACGAGGGACGGTCCTTGATGAAGGGTGGCCACTGCTGTAAGTCCCTCGCACATCGCGTAACACGTGTGGTTGCAATGGCTCCTTCTTCACGGACGAGGCTGTGAAACATCCACATAGCCCAACCAACCAAACACTCCCCCATCACCTCATCTGCAGAGAGGCCTTCACCTCCCCAGAGCAAACACACACAACAGATGGAGGGCCACCATATATCTACCTAAGCATTAGCCATTCTCAGCCTACTGTGACAAAAGCTATTGCTCAGGAATAAACAAATGCCATCAGAATGTAACCAACATGTCAAAAGCCACAGGACCGTCTCACTCACTTTTTGAGAAATGAGAAAGCTGGGCTATGCCAGAAAAAGAATATATCTGTGCATGAAAGTTGGTCTGGACTAAAGCAGTGGGCAAATACAAAGCAAAGTATCCACTGCTGTACAGCTGCGCGATCCAGGAGACACCAGCTTCACCAAACTGACTACTATGCAATACACAGGAAGAACAATGCTTTAGAACAAGACACACGTTTTTGGAAATTTAAGTTAAATATAAATATCTCCCCATAATGAGAAGTAATGTTGCAGAAGACAAAAAAAGAACATTTAAAGCTCAAAGACACTTTATGGCCGAGAGCATAAACATGGTTACCTAAATAATATATATGCACATGCCCAAGCCATGGACCTTAAAATGCTGAAAACCAGATGCAATAACAAGGATCCAGCTTGAGCAGAAAATACTGGCAAAGATCTCACAGTCACATTGTGTACTCCCAAATGTCTAGACAACGCACGGAGGCTTTAAAATGAAATAAATGCTAACAGACAAACCACGTGGACGAGCCCTACACAGTGCTCTGCAGTTCTGCCAATTGTCACAGAGGAGAAAGGCTCTTAGAGGAAAACTCAGACCTCCCACTCCCTGCATTCCCCTGGGATGAGAACCGATCTCATACACTGCACTGAGTGGTTCAAAAGTCTCGCAAAGAACAGTATGCAATAGGAAGTAGGAGAGAGTCAAAGCAAATTAAATCCCTTGTGGATTCTCAGAAGTGCCCTTAGGTGAAAAGAAAATTCGTTCCATATTGCAATCACTGCCACGAAAACACTCACTTCACCAGTTTGGCTGTGCTGCAAAATACCACAGGCAGTTTCCCCAAAAAGATCCGTTTGTTGAGACGCTATTACATGAGATACAACTCATTTGTTTGAAAAAAGGGTGCAAAGAGCGTACCACCGGCAACTCTTAGGAACTAGTCAGATGACTAACAACTGTAGCCAGATCTTTAGCTGGGGGAAACCACTGAGTGTAGTCCAGCTGACATCAGTTCAGACTTTCTCCAGGGCACGGACCCAGGAGGTTCCTTCCAGCGCCTGGCTAAGCGCCGGCGTACCCTGCTGCGCACCGAGCTGCCGCACATGCGCTAAGTTCTGCAAGTAGAATCATAGAATCATGGAATGGTTTGGGTTGGAAGGGACCTCAAAGATCATCTCGTTCCAACCCCCTTGCCATGGGCAGGGACACCTTCCTCTACACCAGGTTGCTCAAAGCCTCATCCAACCTGGCCTTGAACACTTTCAGGGATGGGGCATCCACAGCTTCTCTGGGCAGCTTGTTCCAGTGCCTCGCCACCCTCTGAGTGAAGAATTTCTTCCTTATCTCTCATCTAAATCTCCCCTCTTGCAGTTTAAAGCCACCACCCCATGTCCTGTCACTACACACCCTTGTCAAAAGCCCCTCTCCAGCTTTCCTGTAGGCCCCCTTTAGGCACTGGCAGGCTGCAATAAGATCACCCTGGAGCCTTCTCTTTTCCAGGCTGAACAGCCCCAACTCTCTCAGCCTGTCTTCACAGCAGAGGTACTCCAGCCCTCGGATCATCTTCATGGCCTCCTCTGGACCCACTCCAGCAGCTCCATGTCCAACTTTGCCCTCCAAGGAGGGCGCATGTAGCAGGGAGGTAAGGAGATGGCACAGGTACTTGGGAAAGTTTTCCCCAGTGTTACAGCAAAGCTCCCTTGGGGGGGGCCAGGCTCTACAACAGGAACTTCCTCCACACAGGGTGAGCGCGCCGTGAGGATTCCACCCCACACAAACAGTGCAAGTGCGACCACGGCTCTGCCTGGTGAGCCTTTTTCCTCCACCTCCAGCGCCGGGAGCACGCTGGGTGCCTGCGGCTCCGGAGAGCCGTGCTGGCCCATCGACGCAGCGACTCACACTGTTAACTTTGGGAGACGTCCTCGGCTCACATCTCACTGCTGGCAGAGGTGGCAACCAACACGCCAGCACTCAAAGTTAGCAGGGAAAAAAAACCCACAAATAAAGCCTGAGGAGAGTTAAAGCTGCAGTTTTGTACAGCTGACTGTTACGTAAGAATTTAAATGCACATGGCTATAACTGCATTCACACTTTAAAAGACATTAAAGTAAGAAAAAAGCTTTTAAAAAGATTTTAATTGTCGTTTAGTCTGTTTCTCTGCTCCAAAGTCAGGATCAAGTATGCTTATGCCGTTCATGATTTACACAGTGTAAATTCACTGCGGTTACCGTTGAGAAGAGAATTTAAGCACAGGAGATACATAACCAGAAGTTATGGGAAGGGTTCCCGAAAAACTAAGAGCAGGAAATGCCTGGTAGTCAGTGTAACCAGGAATGCATGTAGAGTACCTCAAGGTAATCAGATCTTCAATCATCATTACAGAGTCAGTGCATCCTTTGGAAATGCAGGATTTTTACTTCAAAAACAGGCAGCTGTGCACCAGATGAAAAACACCAGACACCCAGAAGATATTTCTATGATTCTGGAGAAAAGGGGGGGGTATGTGGAGGATACATGTCATTTACTCTCACATTTACTAATGCCAACATATTTAAGCTTAGGTAGCAGACTTCAGGATGTCCAAGACTCCATTACAATTCCCACATTCACTCCCCCAGTTTTCTGGGGCAGGAAACCGCAACTCATAATGAAGCCACAGATTTCTACATCTGACACGTCTGAAAAACCAGACCACCAACTGCTGTGCCAAGGTGCACACACAGCTCAGGCAAGTAATCAAGTGCCCCAATTTGAATGATGAAGTGGGCTCCCTTAGGAATTCATTGAAACAATGAGCTCACACTGACAGCTGAGTTGCCACAGCACATGTTCTAACACGGGATAAAGTTGACATTGCAGATACCAACATTTGGCAACTCTGTCAAATACTGGCTCTTTAATAGTCCCTAAAATAAAAAATGGAGTCTTGATTGAATAACCATAATGGCTTAGGTCATTCCAAGGATTAAAGCTTCATGATACAATCTTTTCAGTTCCTAAACTCCTCATTACCTCGACAGGTTCTTCCATTTGCTGCCATGGTATATCCTTGCTCAGGACAAGCACACTGGTAACTTCCAGGAACATTCACGCAGCGGAAAGTACAAAGAATGCCTGCACTTTGCGTGCACTCATCGATATCTGGGGAAAAAACACAATTACAAACATATGAAAAAAAGAAAAACAGAAATCTGAAAAGAGAGGCTGTAGAACACAAGGAAATTCTTATCTGACACATTTATAATATATTCCTACAGAAGAATGCATCCATGAAAGGTTGACATTGCAATATATTCTTTATAATATATTCAGAAGAATGCATCCATGAAAGGTTGACATTGCTCTAGGACTGTTGATGGTGCTTTCTGAAATGCTGAACACTTGCTCCCAAAAATACTGGTTGCAAGTAGTATGGACTCATGGGAAAGAACAGTAAGTCTGGGGCATGCGTGACTACGAAAAACTCTCTGGTACCGCTGTAGTTCTTCTATTCTACGATTGCTTTGGGAGCTTCCTTGTTCTAGGAAGAACACGGGTTTCTTCACCATTCTTAAATAGAGACTCTCCAATATTTCAGTATTGGTAACTTCAAGAAAACAAGTAAAACTCTTCCTTTCCCCATTCTGACCACTCTATTCCTCATTCACCCACCACCAGCAGAACTAAGAGCAAGCGTTCACTCAACTGTGGCTGAGTGGAGGCTTTAATTGACACAATATAGGTAAACATATCTTCTAATTTTTTCATTCATGAGCTCTAGCCCTGTGAAACGATAACCTCACTGGTTCTACGGTCACACAAATGTATTTCAGCCCCAAGTAGGAGACATGAAAATGAACTGCATTTCCCAATAGCTGGAGTTACCTGTTGCAGGTTCTGCAGCAGAGTATAACTCAAAATCGTCCCCAGGCATCACCTGCAGCATTAGGTGCTGCTGAGAGTTCGACAGCACTTACTGACAGTGAGTCAGACAGCACTGACTGAAGAGTATCTGCACATCTCACCTGACCTGACAAAGCAGCATCCTTACCTTTACACGAATGCCCATCTTCTGCCAGCTGGAAACCTTGCCTGCAGTAACACTGATAGGAACCGTAAACGTTGGCACACTCCTGGCTGCAGGGACTGGTATCGCATTCATTTACATCTGTATCCAAAAACAAACCCACACACATTGCCACAATGGGTCAGAACAGTATCTTCCACCATTTCTGGCCTCTGAGAACAGCTACCACATCCTTCTGGTCAGAGTGAAGAAGGATAGACTAATTTGTCCCAAGAAAATGTTTCTGCTCCCTAGGCAGAATGCCAAGAAGTGTGAGGATGTCTGTTGCACCTGAATTTAATTTCTATATATGCCAATAAAAACACATACACATGCAAACACATTTCAGAGCTTATATGTTACAGTTGATTTAAAAAGATGTAATAATTGCCTTAAAAACATCATGGAGAACTTAAACATTTTCTATTCAATTCAAAATCTGTTTTTTCAAGTTTTGTCACTACTAAGCTTCATCTTCATTAAAATTTGAATGAAAAGTCTCCTATTCTGACTTTATTACATTCTCCTTCTCTCTCATCTGAAAGGAAAGGAAAAAGTATGTGAGGAAAGAGGAGAAACTTGCTGTCTCTCATCTGACAGTTTGAATGTTTGACAGAATATCTGCAAATTTGAGCATACATAGATCATGGGTTTACTCTTATTTATACTTCACGTCAGCTCCTTCTCTAAATTCCCGTAATTCACACTGCAATTTCTTCTTCATGGAAAAAATGTCTGGTACCTTCACAGTGCTTCCCATCGTACGACAAGCGGAAACCAGAAGAACAAGTGCAATGGTAGGAGCCAGGGGTGTTCTCACACGTGTGCTGACACAGGCGTCCAGGGTAATTCCAGCACTCATTTATATCTGCCAGCATAACGAGCAAATATATCATCAACTTAGAAACAAAAGCATCAAACAAGATGCAGGAGGACATTTAAAAAAGTGTCAGAGATTGATTTGCTAAGCATGAAACGCCGCAAGCTCAGGTTTTACGCTGTCTGACTTTGTGCTCTAATTGGTGCACAGGAGCGATAAAATACAAAATGCTGTATCATGGTCTCTCATGAAGAAAGTTGTGAGATCTCCAGAAAGATAAATTTCTACAGCTGCAGAGGCACAACCCACAGGAAAGCACTTTGCAGATGCCTTTAACTGATAACTTGCTGCTAAACCAAACCAAGGGCACCTGCTCCCAAATCATAGCAGGGACTGGCAGAGCTCTAAATGGGCGGGCGCGCTGAACCATGGCTGCTTTGGAGGTGATTCCATTCTCTTTGGAGGCACCGCATTGCAGAACTAATAACTGCACACTACAACGCTGCTAAATACTGCCTTGAGGTCCAAGGCTCCATCAATCAGTCGTTCCATCTCGCCCTGCGCCTTACATACCAATGCAGCTTCTGCTGAACGCGTCGTACTGGTATCCCATCTTGCAGTCGCAGCGATAAGCCCCAGGAAGATTATGACAAATCTGCCCTTCTCCACAACGGTGTACACCAGTTTGACATTCATCCACATCTGCACAACCAGAGAAAGCAATTAGATCAAATATAGTTTGCTGAAAATCAATGTTTACAGAGAGAAAAAAAAAAATAATTAAATAACAGGAATGGAAACTTTTCGGGTGGTGCCCTGAACAGAACAAAGAATATCAGCTTTTCCCACCGTGCTCTTCTCAGAGTCAGCTTTACCTATCTCTAAGTCAATCTTTTGAAAAGCAATACATCATCTTAAAAGTGAAAATGGTAACTGTAACTGCAATGGAGCTTTCCCAGCATATTCTGCATTTCGATGTAAACATATTTTGGTTCTGATCAAACTATGACATTTAAACACCCTATTCTGATGTTCTGCCGTTCCGCGAGTCACGACAAGCCATTTAAAGCAGAACAAGGACTAGCCAGAAATTCTGCTCATCCCTTCAATTAAAGCAATTGCTATTTTCATCTCCAGTTGCCCTTTCGGTCTTGCTTCTGCTGTCTACCTTGTGCTCTTTCTCAATGTTGATCTTTTTTCTTTTCTCAATCAACTCGCGTTTTGATATTCCTCATGGCCTCTCATCCAAAACCCAACACCAACAAATCAGTTGCTTCTCCACTCACATGCACCACTCCCAATCTCATTTTAAAAACCCACAGATGAAGATGAGCGTTTTCAATACACGCTGATTTACAAGACTTGCAACATGCCTAAATAGCTCATCAGTATCTAACAAATCCCTGTTCCCATCTGTGACGAGAGGCATCAAAAAGTCTGATTAACCCTCAGAAACTTCTATTTCTTCAACTGTTCTGAGTTCTGCCACTTCCTAAGCCATCAGATCCTGCTTCCTTCCTATTATTCACATTTTCAACTGCTCTTGCAACCCAAATCCCTGTTCATGTAATATTAATTAGGATGGTAGTCTAAGGTTGGGTGTTCTCCATACTCCCCTACTGGAAGTCATAAATTTGAGCACTAACAAACACTTTGTTCAATATTTCAGCACAGATTCCCACCTACACAGTCCCTGCTGGCAGCGGGGTTAGGGATGGTAGGGAATGCCGCTTTCCAAGCAAGGAATTCCTGACAGGCTAATAGATTTCTGCTGAAACACTGTCTCCTCGCTTTCTTTTAAGGTCAGAGGTAGCACCAAACCAAGGAAGTTTCTAATGCAGATACAAATTTGTGAAGTAGCGGTTTTATTTGCAAAGAATTCACGTGCAACTATTTTTCATTAGTTTGTCCAAAATTATGTATTCCACTGTGTTCAGGCTTTAATTAGTTCTAGGATATTATACCATCAGAAGTGTGCTGTGTTTCACAATAGCTACTGTAGTTTTCAGTTAAATGTAAGAGGTAATTTTTAATAACTCCTTTACTAAATCAGAAAATAGGAACACTTTAAAGAGAGATGAATCCTCTAAACAGAGAAGATGACCATACAAGTGCAGTTCTGCTGGAGAAACACGTGCAGATGATGTATTTACTACTGTGAATAAATCTGAATCAGGAATCTAATTAGCTATTGTAATGCCATAAAGAAACTAGTCTTTATCATCGAGAGGGGAAATCAGGACCATATGCTTTTCTTTTTTCTTCTCTGTGCTCTCTGCATACTTCAAGTCATACCAAAAAAAATACCAAAAGATACAGACTGCAAACAGAGTGCACACAGCAAAGGCAGATAAATCACCAATTAACACTAAACATTTGTTTTCCCAAAATCAAACTAGAGAAGCTTCCTTGTACCTGCTCCTTAAAAACACTGTCAATCATGTAGAGTAGAGACAAAGTATCATCAGCAATTACTATGCATTGTGTTATCTCAGCATGCTTTAAAGATATAAATGCTGTATGAGTAACAGCAATTTCCTCCACTGTCACATAGTTACACAGTCACTCTCTTATAGGAACAACTGGGGAGAAAAAGCTGCATTCTTTCTATAAATCATCAGTTTGAAATTTAGGAACAGAATTTGCCCCAGTCATTAGCAGGGCTTGAAAACGAAGACCGTTGGCACTACAGCCAGGACTTCTGAGATGCTCAGTGACAACTGCTGACTTGCATAAAAAATGGCATTTATGGAGACGTTGGCATGGTGGTAACCCTAAACCAATTCCAGAGTCATCACACTTCCAGTGGTGCAATTGTACCCTAGTCCAGTTGACTTTGCTGAAACAAGACATCGAAACCATCTGGAGAATTGTGACTTCACAGCAAGTGACAGACAGGACTTTTGGACCTTCCCTTTCTAACAGCTGAAATATTTCAGGCTGCTATATAATGAGACAGCAAATGAGACTGCACTGCTGTGTCTTGAGTTTCCAAAACACACACCCCTAGAGCTGTATTAGGAAGCTTTCCCAGTTTCCTCAGTTACACACATAAACTGTCCTCATCTTCTGCTACTCCCAAATCTTCCCCACCTTATCACTGGCCAAGCACGGTCTGGATAAGTCCTGTGTGTAAAATCACGATGGGAGATAGAGTATAATGAAGAGCAAAAAGTAGAATGCAGAAATTTATGCAGAAATTTATGCAGAAATGGGGTCTGTCTCTACAAGTTGCGAGTCATGACCAAATTGATAGGCAGCTGCCAGGGCGGCTTTCACCCACCTGTAGTATCACAAAAGTGTATTTTGTTTGTTTTTCATCCTTCCTTTTATTCAAAGGGAATGTAAGCAGAAATCATTAGGATATCATCACTAACCAAAATGCTGATTTGTCATTTCTTTTCTTTTTTTTTTCCTGCTGTCATTTTATGATTCCCTCCTTTGCGTAGCACGGAACACGGGGAATTAAAGAATGTGTAGCCAGCCTTGCCTTGGGCACCAAGGACCAAGCTTTCAGTTCCTTTGTGCCTAGTTTGCTCATTTACAGAACAAATGCTCATAAGAGATGAAATCTGCTATTCTGAGTCAGTAACTCCATGAACACAATGGAACAAATGCAAATCAGTATCAAGCTGCGTGTCAGCCATATGAATCTTTTGACATTCTTTTCACAAAGAAGGTAAGAATTTATCCTAAACATACACACACAACTGGATGTACATGGGGAATACCATCATAGCACTACAACAGAACATCCACTTAGGACTACTCTCATGAGTCCACAAACTCGGTGTTTGTCGTTTGCAGCATCCTATGGCTTCAGATCACATCACTTACAGTGAGATACTGTAAAAAAATAGCAAAGGATCACGGTTTTGACTGACAGCACAAGTTTAAAAAGTAACTAAATCACATTCACTCCAGAAGGGAAGCCAGTAAATCCCATATGCAGTCAAAACCAGCGTCACCCAGCGTACCCAGAAGAACTCCATGCAGCAGCACAGCGTCCTATAGTGCAAACAAATCACTGGGCTGCTTGGACAGCAAATGCATACAGCAAATTCCCATTGCCCAAATAAATTTAGGAATCTGGAGATAACTCTAAATCTCTTTTTAGAACTGAAATGTACTTTTTCCTCTGAGAGGGCACCTGACCAGACACTGGAGTCCGATCTTACCGATGCATCGCGTTCCCTCCTCATTGGAGTGGTAGCCCCTGCTGCATGTCAGCACGTTCCTTTGGCAGGTGTAAGACCCAACAGTATTGATGCAGTTGAAGCCTGGCTTACATGGCTCAGGGAGAGATGTGCATTCATTAATATCTGGTGAAGGAAATGAATTAGAATAGTGAGAAGCTATTTAACCTTTTGAGTCTGTTTTCCTCCAGCTGTCACTTTCCTTTTTCCTTCACGTTAATTTATTTTGCTACAAAGATAAGGCTGATGAAGGTCTGCTGTGGTGACATTTTCAAATTCAGTATGTAAGTATGCATGTCTTCAAAAGAACAGTCATGTTTAAATTTAACTCGCAGCAGGATTTAAGGAAAATTACACGTGGCCAATATACACCCCTTGGACAGGCTAGAAGGAACAGGAGTTGGCCAGTGCTGCTGCACATGTTACTGGTCACACTTACCAACACAGTTTCCCTCAGGGTCTTGTAAAAATCCATCCATGCAGCGCTGCTTTGACTCACAGTAGAACGATCCTTCCGTGTTCTGACAAACGAAGTTCACTTTACAACTATGAGTTCCTCTCTCGCATTCATCGATATCTGTTAATCAGATCAAAACACCACACTGTGACCAGCAAATTTCAACAGTCTTCATGACTAGTTCATAAAATCTTTTCTCAGAAAGGAAGTTAGGAAGCATCAATGAAACCTGACACCCAACATGGCCTTCGGGAAATCTGAGGTTTAGGTGTGTTTGCTCTTGGACATCCACTTCAGCACAGGCTTTGCAATTTGTCAGGTCCTGCAGCAAAGTCGATTTGGGTCCCTACTGCCACGTTCACAGCATCTCTTGTCAACAGCAAACACTGAAACAGCTGCAGTTTTAAAATCCTAAAGGCCCAAATTTAATCTAGGAATAAGGTACACATCATCAAACGTGTACAAAAAGCAAAGTGGTCTCTTATTCCTTATATACCTCAGGAATTGTAGGCAGAAACCTGCCTCCACTGAATTTGTTGTCAAAAGGGCACCTCATTTGAACAGAGCTGGGATTTCACAGTGTACACATGTGTATGCAAATATGTACTTAATCACACAGAACAAACATTTATCCAACTCTGAAAACTATTCTGAAACAAATCTGAATAAGAGGTAGTAGTATTGGTAAAATTTTTGCTTTTTTTCTTACTCTGCAGTCAGGGCTCAACACAGCTTTCTCATTTTTTATTATGTGGATGAAATTATTTCTCAAATTGTGTTCACCAACTTGAGGCTTGCTTTCTAGGCACATTGAAAACACTTCCTGCAAGTTTCAAACTTCTAAATTTACACCCAGCTGAGCTGTGCTGAGTAACTGCATGGATCAGCGGGTGTAGTGGCATTGCTTCCGTTTTCCAGCTTAAGAAACCCCACCTAGGAGCCGAATTTGACTCTTTCTTATAAGTCATTAATTTAAAGGCTACTTTAAAACAATCTGTAAATTTTATAATGTGTTATAATCTAACTTTGAGATTAGAAAGCAATTTAGATTAGCAATAAATGTTTGAAATGCCATAAAGTCAGACGCCAGAACAAGATATTCACCAACAGCTTCTTCCAGTGAACCAGGGTTTACTTACGACAGCTGTATATAAACGAGATTTCGGATCATTTCTATCTTACAACCTTATGTTACATGTCAAGTGTGAAGTTCTTTCCTTAGGCATCTCTTACTCCAGCTGTCAGGAAACTCTTTGTGGAACAAAATTTAGGAGTAAATAACACTGACTTTTGCCCTGGAAGGCAGGGCACGTGTGTCTCTGGCATCCTCCTGTGCTGCAGAGGAACTTTGCTATGATTTCCGAAGTTTGCTTCTCCATTAACGTCCATATAGACCAAGAATGGGGAGATGAAGAATAACTTTTTAAACCCATGACCACTCAAAACGTCAATAAATGCAGACAGACCTCCTAAACACAGGAAGGACCGGACTGAGTCAGCCCCATGATCCATTCAGGCTGTGATTCAGTGTTCAAGAGCAAACAGTATCAGCCCCTTCAGAGAAAAGCAGAGCTGGGCAGAGGAGCGTAACTGGAATTCCTCCATCAGAGAGATCTCTCTCTCTAACCCCTTAAAAGCAGGGTAAATTCATAAGGTTTCATCCCTTTTCCAAATTATTTATAATTATCGCTGGAAACTATTTCAAATAACTGAATGTACAGAAGGGGCCCGTGAAGCCAAACATTTCCATGATGATCAGCCTTTTTCAGCTACAACCCAGCAACAATAACACGCTTTGCAACCCCTTTCCTTTCCTGTTTGGTAACAGCAATTGCATCAGCTGAAAAACACTTGTCTTACCAACACATTCTCCATCCTTGAGTTCATAACCTGGCTGACAGCTCAGTTCCTGGAGACATTTGAACGATCCCATCGTGTTGACGCAGTGCTCTCTCCGCTGGCAGGTGTGCCTATCTGTTACACATTCGTTAACGTCTACGAGAAAGAGTGAAACCATTCAGTGCCTCATATTTATCACGCGATCTGTCTCTTCCTGCTCTTTTGGAAGGAGTCAAAAGCTCACGTGAAACCGTTTCTTCCAAAAGACGGTCCGCTATCAGAGTTCTGATGAAAGACGGTTTATTTGGGGATCTTTTGTTAACACAGAGTAACTCCAGAGACACAAATCACAGGGAGATTTCCTCCTCCTCCCCTCTTCCCAAACGGGCAGGGGATGGTGCAGGCGTTGAGGACAGGGGATGGACAGAAGTGATTAAATGCAGGATGGGCAGAGGATTGACAATCAGCTTCTGGTTTACTGGACAGCAACCTCCTGAATGAGACAACTGAATGAGAAAGTGATTAATGCTTATTGCTCGTTACCAGGTTTTCATAGCCCAGGCTATAGATCAGTCCTGCTGCTCCGTGCCAGATAGATGGGAGCTGCTGGTGTGGAACCTCTGCAAGAGATAGGTCCTGAAACCACCTGCCTCGCTGCAGGTGGAGTCATGTCACCTACTCATTTCCTAAGGAATGCGTCATTAGAACGGGATACACAAGAAAACGAGGAGAGAGGAATCCTGAAGGCTCAATCAAGTTTGTAAATTGGCATTTAAATCTCTAAATAGACATCTGATTTCAGCAGGTGGAGTAGTTGAAAAGTTCTTTTTAAAAACTCACTTAAGTACCAGATTGCAGAATGTAGGACACATTTGGGAAGGAATATGCCACACCTTTAAAATGGTACGTTTTGATAGGCTTGGATGAAATAATCTCAAATTCAAGTTTTGCTTCTTTTAATAATGAAAGCTGAGAATGGCACGATGAGCAAGCAACAAAAAGAGGTTCAGACTAGAAAGGGAAATGTTCTTGCCTTAAGCAACTACTTGCAAGCAACAAAAAGGCGTTCAGACTAGAAAGGGAAATGTTCTTGCCTTCTCCACAAAATCTGAACACGTTCACGGTTCTATATAAAGCTAAGAATATTTCTAGAGCTAACAAAAACCAAATGTGACCATAACTATTACCAATCCTCCAGCTTCCCTGCACATGCAGCTGGTTTCATGCTACACAATGAAGCAAGCACTGCTTAAATAAGATTTGCACTTTGGCTGTAGAACCTCATTCCCAGATCAGTACGCACCAGGTACGTCACTTCCCCCTGTGGAGCATGAAAACAAGAAAAGCCATTTAAAAAGACTTTTGTCTTAGAAAACACATCAGCTCGTTTTCTACCAAACAGATGAAGAGAGGCACCAAGAAATTTCAGTTCCATCTGAATCATAGAATCACAGAATGGTTTGGGTTGGAAGGGACCTCAAAGATCATCTCGTTCCAACCCCCCTGCCATGGGCAGGGACACCCTCCACTACACCAGGTTGCCCAAAGCCCCATCCAACCTGGCCTTGAATACTGCCAGGGATGGGGCCTCCACAACTAAAGAAGTTGGCTAACTGGTGATGTGCACTGAGTTTCGCAAGACCAGTATGTCAGCTTGGTGCCATTTCACTGTTCTTTTATTTCTGTTTTCTTTTTGTTTGCTATTGCTATTCTTCACGTGCCGTGTACTCGCTTTCGAAGCCGGCTGATCAACCCACAGCAAGGTCACTGCTGTCAGCTGGATGTCTTTCTGCCTGTCACACACGACAAAAAATGCACTGAGTGGCAGGTACTTGCTTACCCCAAAGCTCGCACAGGGTTATGTCCTTTTAATGCTTGTACGCTTTCCCAGTTTCTATATGTTAGCAGGAAGAGTAAGCAGCAACATTCTCATAAGTGGTCTTGGGGAAAAAAACCCAAATAAACAAGAAAAAAAACAGTGCACGCTGGGAGAAGAATACAAGCTGTTGTGGTAGACATCTCGTACCTAACTAGACTTATTTCTTAAAAAAAAAAAAAGAGATTTTTTTTTTATTTTAAAGAAAAACGGTTATGGACAGCCATTTATCAGCATCCAAACCAGTGCAAGACTTTCTACTGACTATGCAACAGACCCGAGATTATCTTTTCTCACAAACCACAAAAAGCTTTCTCATATAAATAAATTGTCAGCACTACACTGCATCATATGAACTGAGGTCAGTTCAGAACGATGTCAAAAGAGCCACCAGGAGGAAAGCATGTTTGTCTGAAATACCACTCAATGTCAGAGGTATTCCACCTAATCAACTGGTGTAAACAGGTAAAAAGAAGGTTAAGATTTCGCAGAGAAAAAAAGACCTAATATAGTTTTATGTTTTGTCTATATTTTTTAATTTAATTTTCAGATTTCTGAGTACTTCAGAAAATAACTAGAGCTGGCCAGCACTTGAGGAAATTAATTTATGGCAACTGGAAGATTGCATGCAGAATTTTTGCTTTCAGTGACAGTTTTGTGCACAAGTGACACACTGGCAACCTCTAGAGCCTAATGATGGTGACCTGGGCTGAATGCAAGGCTTAAACTACGAGCCAAGCAGTATGCAAGGCTCTGCTCTGTCCCATCCAATGTTGGGGCATGAATCCCCATCTCCGATATCAGGCCAGCTCCAGCCCACCAAAGTGCCCTTTTCATTTTATTACACAGACATGGTCTTTTTTGTTCGTTTTTCTAAATAAATTCCTAAATGGTCATGCCACAAAACGAGACCTCAGAAGACTTGCAGCATCCTTCTCGTCACTTCCCATCGGTCCATGTCGTTGCTGTCACTCTCGATGCAAAACTGTGTCCTTTAGCATGAGCATGAGGGTGGGAAAAGACATCGTTGGGAATATGGTCCCAGTTTGTGCTGGGGCAGCACATGGGCACCTGTGGTAGCTCTGTTCAGCCCAGGCTGTAACTAGTATCATTTTGCTCTATCATTATGGCACAAGGCAGAAGGGAGTGAGGATGATTTTGTAAAACAGGACAATCTCTCCCTCCTTTTTTCCTCCCTGTTGATTATCTGTCAAATCAAGACTGTCCATAACCTGTCTCTCTTCAGCACTGGAAACCAACTCAACAAGTCAGTAGGACGCTCGACAGAGCACTACGAAAAAAATGAGTTATGTTTCCAGTTTGAAACAAAGTTAATTCCCAACTGTAGTCTTCATGCAACGCAATTAAGACTGTGAGGTAGGGCAAGACTATATTTATAAAAAAAAACGGAATAAGAGGAAAAATAATGCAGTAGTATATAAAAAACAAACCACACAGATAATTTTTGAGAAATCTACTAGGTCTATCTGTGTGGCGACAACATTCCTCACTTTACATCAGTAAAAACCAGAATGAAACGTAACCATGTAGCATCTCTTTTTTTTCCCCTGGAGTTGTTGTTGAAAACAGCAACATATACATGATCCCTGAGCATATCTGATGCACCTAAGAAGCTGACATTTTGCAAAGGAATTTACCAATTTACCAAAGCACATTAACCAAGTGCTATTTTTTTAATATATACTCTGACGTTAAAAATTAATTTTTTATGCATGTTTTATAAAAATGTGAAATGCAGACTTTTTTTTTTTTTTTTGTCCTGCATCTGTGGTTTTTTCTCTTCAAATTACTTCAGCTCAATTTGTTTTACGGCATACATCTGTTTAATTTAGACCCGTCGTTATTTCTCAACCACCCATCCTGTGCTCACGCACAGTCCCTATGGTTCAGCAATGGAAAAATGGGAAAATGTAGATGGGAGCAGCAAAGACAGTAGCAAAGCAGCCTCCCATCAGTGTGTGTGTGTGGGTGGTGGTAATGACTTTGCCTGAAAGTCACCAGGAAAAGCAATTCACATTAAAAACATCCACCCTGGCTCTTATCTCTGGAGAACATGGAGCTTTCAGGCCTAAAGACATTTTAATATCTACGCACCAAGTTACACAAAGGTGGTGTGTACAAGATATTTAAACAGCTGGTGACTCTTCATTGTGCATGGTTGGCTTTCAGGAATTCTGGATATTTGCTCTTGAACGCACCTGGAATTATAATCTCCCCCAGTTTGACTAAAGGAAATTTAACAGATAAAAGGTTATCAGCTGTTTTGTTGCTGTGCAAAGATTATTCCTCCCGTCCCTAAAATATGCAAAGAGTAACATCATTAAAACAACAATAATTTGCAAACAAATTACCAAAACGTTGCTCGTGGTGTTTGAGACAGCTCAAGATGGAGCACAAAAAGCAGTGACAGGCTGGAACAGGCTACCGTAGGCGAATGTGGCTGCAATGAGGCAGTTGAACAAGACCGAAACCACAGTATGCTTGTGGCTTTCCCCTTTGACTAGAAAAGGAGGAAAAATGTGAAATACAGCAAATGTTCTCCAGGCACCACGCACAGAGCAGAGCTGGATAGGAGTAGGGAGAACAGAGGGTATATCTGTCCAAAAAGAAAGAGAAACGTCACAGTTTTCGAGATTGCTTTAAAAGGATGTCAGTGAAAACCTGACTTGCATTAGAGAAATGCAGAGGTTTGTTACTTAGTGAGGGAGAAGAGGATCTTTTAGCTTTACAAATGAGAGTTGTATCATTCGTTTTATTAGCGATGCTGCAGGTTTACCTCTTACCAGATACGATAAAACTCTGTTATAATGTCATGGGGTAGAGGACAGGAGAGGAAGAAGGTGAATAAAAGGAAGCACTTGGCATCTTCTATAGCACCTTCAGTCAAAGTTGCTGACAAACACGCACTGATTTAGTTTCAAAACACTTCTGGGAGATGTAGAAAAAGACAGACAAATATCACGATTGCATAGTCCAGGAAAAACACCAGGGGATCAAATGGTAAGATTGTCAGAAGCAGAAAGCAAGGTGAGGCAGCTCCTTCAGCTGCTCACTTACCAGACCTTACATTCAGCAGTGTGGCACACACAGCAGGCTCTGAGAAAGCCACGAAACACACCGTACAGGCTGTGGCAACTACAAACACCATCTGCCATCTCACAATCTGGTATCTTCTCTGTGAAGGCACAACCTTCCCTTCCAGTGGCGTTCTCTCGGCCATTTAATTTAAGCTAAATCATTTCATTAGTTTTCCATGCTTACCAGTATCTCTGATTTCAAAAGAAATAAAAACATATATCTAATTTTGACAATTTAAGGAAAACCAAGAAGACAGTAAATCACATTTCTGGTCTAAACTATGAAACTGTTGTAAACTTTCCTGCTCATGCCCTTATGCCATACGATGCTCATTAATAAGACGAGATGATAGAGCTTTAAAAGATAGGAACAAAATCAAAGCTGTGATGGTCAGAAAAAAAATGTTATGAATGTAGGGAGAAAGATAGAGGAGGAAGAAGGCAAATGGATTTGCCCATGACATTATAGTCACAGGCACTGCTGCGTTCATTAATGAGTAGAGGGCTCCGGGTGCTCCGTTTTTCCAGGCGTTGCCACACAACGCTGCTGCAGCTCAGGTGCCTCCTAGACCAGCCTCTAGAAAAGTTCCCCCATACAGAAACTATTTCATAAGCTCGGGCCTTGGCTTTTTGAAACAAATGAAATCCTCCTAAATGCACTTGTAAAAATAGATTGGTTTCTTGTATGAGCTTAAACAGCAGGGACGATACAGCAGAATTATGACGCATCTTTTACTTTTATACAAAGAAATTTGTGGCGGAATCAACAAAGGACTAATCTGAATTTTAAAATTCCATCACTTTGGAATGGATCTTTCCCACTGCCCGGACTTCTGCAGATTTCTTGAGCTATATTTATGAAGTTTTGCTGTTTCATGATGTCTGGGGATTTGGCAGTTTAGATAGGGTGCAGAGAGATCAACTGCTACGTTTTCTTAGGGTAGTTTAATAGTCCTCAGTACTGCTGTGGTCATCATACCTATGAACTTTTATGACTTTTAAGCAAAGTTATATCTACCCTGAGAACGTATTGCTAGGGAAAAAGCCAAATAGCATACAACTCATGATGTTAAGTGGCTGAGCAAATGGTGCACATGTGTTTTTACTAACTCATATTGAAATGTCATATGCAAAGATGGCCAGAGAGCCTTTTAGCACAAATGGTTTAAATGCGTTGCAGAGCATGAAGAATTATGATGCTGTGGTGAACGGCTTATACCTATCATCTTACCAACACATTTTCTACGCCTGTTGAGTATAAAGCCCTCTGCACAGATCACTCTGTGGTTGACACAGTAGAACGATCCCAATGTGTTCACACATAATTGTCCTCTGGAACAAGCGTGAGCACCTGTGAGGCACTCATCCAAATCTATATCAACATGTTGCAACCAAAAGGGAAAAATAGAATTCCATTAGAAAAATTTCTGAAATGAAACACTTTCACACTGGAGATCTCTAAATGAAGTGTGTTAGAGCTACCACATCAGCACCATGCTATAAAACATACAGTGTTACACTGGAAACAGGGCTGGAATAAATGCTCAGAGATCATCTAGTCCTTGCTTTCACCCCTACACTTCTGTCATTCCAGAAACAGCCATTCTTAAAAACAGGCAGTCACACAGATGCAACGCACACTCTTTGCAGGAAATCTCTGTACCCCTTACCATCAAATACTTACTTTAATATAGATTATAAATGTCCCTTGCTACAATTTAAACCAACTACTTCCACTGATGTTTCTGAATTTTTTTACCTTCTGTAGGAAAACGATTGCCTTGAAATGCCCCTTCTGATTCTGACATTAATTAATCAAATTAGCTTCCACCACACTTGAGTAAGCAATGCACAGTGAATATTTTATCTGGTGATATTAAATTCCCATTTTCTTCACAGACTATCTGGAATCTCACAAAAACAATTTGTTATTCAGTAAGATCTGAGATTAAGAGGGATGTGGATCATTTGAGCATCAGAAGCTTCTACTTGCATTTCACTACTGGCTGTTATTGCTCCCATCCTTACAGATCTATAATTAAGGTATGTCACAGGGCATTGCTTCTGACCCCCAAATCTTTCCTGGGCAAACATATCCTTTGTCACTACCCAAACGTGTCCTTTTAAAATTTATATAACGTGAACGATCACGATGCAGCTCTGGAATTCACTGTTCATCACTGTGCAGGCCTGAGCTTTGATGTCCAGTGAAACACACGGAGCTGTACCAGCTCACAATGGCACATTCTTCATAGCCTCATTGAATTCAGATTTTCAAAGCAAGCAGAAGTAAGCCCAAACAAACCAGCTGACAGGTCAGAGCTGTAGCTCTGAGAGGGTTCCTCAGGACAGCAACATGCCCATCTCCTGCTAGCTGCTCCCATTGTCAGGAGGGAAAGCTGCGTGTCCATAGCTGAGTAAACAGAGCCTGGGGAGGAACAGTAGTGGGAAGAGAAACCAAGAGGGCTGAAAAAAGGTGGGGAATGTCAGAGGAAAAGAGCCCCAACCCAGGCTCGCCTTCACCTGAAGTCCCCCGGTAACAGGCACACTGGGTAGACGTGCTTCAGGAGTTATCCGTGAAGCAGATCTGGCACTCCTTCTGCCAAACGGTCGCTGTACTGCCACTTGCAATTCATAACACTGAAAATAAGGAACCCTTAGAGAAACACCTAGGAGTACAAAATCAATGAGATCTCTATAAAAGTGTTTTAACCGTGTCTCAGCAGTGAACCTGAACCACTTACCTTCACAAGAAATCCCATCAGCCATGATAGTATATCCAGCCAAACAAGAGCATTCAACATTTCCTTCCACAATATTGCAGATGTGCTTGCAGGGGCCGTTATCTAGACAAAGCAAAATTGCAAAATACATTAGCATTCACAACACAGATCAGCTGAGGCTACAAACCTCAGGTCATCCAAATATAATCCCAGTTCAGGCAACGGGGAATGCAGTTTGTAAACAATCTGTCCAGGCAGCCCTAATCACTACTTACAACCCTCCTATTACACAGAAACACACCTGTGCCACTCCTACCTGTATTGTTCTCATTATGCTGCACAGCTGCACTTCTTACCTGAAACTAAACAGCAGGTGAGTAATAACCCTGCCATCAGACTAGAGCCTCAAATTACTTCCTCAGGTTTCCCCTGACAATTCCTCTGCCTTATGCCAGAGGTAACAAATTAAGGATGTGCGTTGAAATCAGATTGGTGAAGGGATGTATGGAATTTTATTCCGGCTCTCTAAACATTCCTCACTCGTCTGCATCTGCAGTTTATTCCTCCAACGTACCTTTACACTTATCCTCCTCTTCTTGTAAGGACACGATGAGAAGAGGCTGAGAAGGAGAGGCTGACGGAGGGATGGTGGCTTCTGCTTCCAGCCTTGTCACCTGTCCCCTGTCAGGATCTGTAAGGCAAGGGAGGCAGAGAAAGATCAGGAACACCATCATCTCCACCAGGCACCCCGTGGCAAGGGTCCCACTCATCCACTCCGTCACGGTTTGCAGGAGGAAACATTTCGATGACCTGGAGAACCGTCTATGCATGGAGGGGAAGGGTTCAGTTTTGCCATCTGTTTGATATGAACAACTGTCTGGCAGTGCACACGCAGTGCTGCGTGCTCGTGGAGATGCTCACAAACGCCATGGATACAGGTCAGAGAGCTCAGCTGCAAATAACTTCCGTAAAATACTGCAACACCTAACGCATCAAACAAAGTGTTCATTTTATTTTTCAAAATGCTTCTATATTGTAAACACCGTGGCTGTCTTCCGTTTCATGTATGATGCAAAAAGCCAAATCCAAAACAAGTCTTCAAAATTATTCTATACATCCTATTTCAACACAGATGAAAAACAGACGTTCACCTTTACAGGCACAGGACACTCTGGAATGACTTCTACACAGCCAAGTGGAAAACACACGACAGCTGCTATCTGTCGTTAAGATTTTCAACAAACAGTAATGTTAAAGCTCTCAGAACAGTTAAGGGAAAAAAAACCCCAACTCTGTTACATCAATAAGAGTAATCCAGTTTAACAGCATCATCCAAACAGAGGCCTAAATCCATAAGGCTAAATTCTTCCTTAAGAGGGATGTGCCCAGTTCCCATTGAGTTGAGTTCAAGTGTCACCTGAAGCACAGTGTGAGCCACCAACAAGGACAGCAGTAAATGACTGTGTGATTGCAATACAGGTTTGGGGTGCAGGAAGAGAGGTTTCGTTTACAAAAAAGAACAAAATCACAGGCATACAATGGGCTATGACACAGAGGCAAACAAAAGACACCTGCTTGAGGCGTATCCTGAATGATTTCCCCAGAAAGAGAGCAGAGAAGCGAGGAACTTTTGAAGTTTCAGCAATGCATGCTTTCTCCTGGCCTCACAGAGCCACTGCAAGAACATCACTTCTTCCAAGCCTCGTGAACATGTGGCACGTTTTGAAAAATAAAAGTTAAATACAATGACATTCACAGTCCAGCAAAGAGCAAGAATTGTACTGGGGCAGAGAAAAATACAAAAACATTCTATCTAACCAAAGGAGTCAAAATAGCCAACAGGATGAGATTCAGAGCTGCCTGGTGTGGGAGCTCCATGCCCAGAGCACATGGCAGAGATGTGCACATACGCAGAGGAAAAATGAGAAATAAAAGGCCACTGTGCCACGCTGCTGGTAGAGCTGGGCACACCTGCCAGGAACGCTGACCACCCAGGTACCAGCTGTGTTAACCCGAATCCGCACTCCAACGGAGTTCGGAATGGGAGAAGCCAAGCGAAGCAGAACAAAACCACACACATGCTCCAGGTGAGGGATGAAGCCAAATTTTGCAGAGCTAAAATAAGAACTATTTTCTTTACCTCTTTTGGACAAGGCTCCTTCCCCAGAATTTTAATATAAACAACAGAGCAGACAGCTGCCGCAGGAACACCGTCAAACACATTATTGATGTAAGCGTTGAGAAGAATGACATAATGAACGCTCATTGTTGGCTTGGGCAGAAAGTATTTGAAGTTTGAGGAGTTTTGTCATTGGATGGCAACACTTCTTTTGCTTGTTAAATAACTGAAAGCACTTGTAACTAATACAAGGTTTCAACTTTCCGGGTTATCTGATTTGAAATCTTGCCATTGGAGAACTCCAGACATCAAAACAATTACAACAAAATAGACTTTCTTTTCAAGACTTCCACCACACTAGATATATTTAGATTTTGTATCACTGAAAGATGTTAATGATTTCAGATAAAAATCAAAGTTCAGGAAGCAATGTTGTCTGTCCGAACTGAGTAAAGTCTATCTAAAGGAAAACTAACTGGGAAATACAAAATGACTCTAAGAAGAAAAGGTTCTTCATTAACAGTCTTCACAAATTCTCTCCTGAAAGGTGAAAAAAGTCCCAGTTTGAACGTATAAATAACACCCTGATCTCATGCCACCGATACGCAAAAACGAGGCATAATTAAGTTTCCTAAATAGTTGTTTTTCTTTACATTACTAACCTGTCCAATTTCCACAGAAAATACCCATGCATCAGTACCCATTAAAAACCTCACAGAGACTCCAGAGAAACTAAAGAAAAGCTTGGTAGGTCAAGCCAGGTGGCCCAAAGACACCATCACTCATGGTGTTTCCTGCCCATTTTCTCACCTGGAGAGCAGCTGGTTCCATCATCTTGCAAAATGAATTCTGGAAAACACGAACACTTGTAGGACCCCACAGTGTTTATACACAAATGCTGACAGAGTTCCCCACCATAGAGAAGACATTCATCCAGGTCATCTCCAGGAAGGTTATTTGACAGTTCAGCTTCATTACTGATGGACAAAGCTTCATTGTGGTCTTCTGTCTCTGAAACTACAACAGAACAACACTTGCTGGTTCTCTAACAGGTTTTTGGCAACAGGGCTGTACAGTATGGAGCTTTTGCTCACACAAACTCCAGATACAGTCAAATCTACCCAAAACAGTTAATCCAAGGACAAGAGAAAATGAACACATCTGAAGATTGTGCTGAAGGTCCACTACCTCCGTCCGTAAGGCTGGGGGGACAGAGATTTTACAGGAGCTGCTGACAAAAAGGGTGACCCTGGGAGGTCACCAGCTCACCTCTCACACTCGCTGCTAACGCCACGGCTATTGTTATTTGAACTAAGGTACCACACTGAAGCCCCGTCTGAAATTGGCCCCACTGAAGAACCACACTGAATTTCTAGTTTCAGGAGAAAAAGTTATCCAGTTGGTTTGGAGACTCTTTTCACCACCACTATTAATTTACTGGCTACATCTGTAGCTAGCATTACAAATGTTCTGGGACCCACTTAATCGTGACGCGGCTATCCTACCCCCTGCTTTTGAACACTGGCCAAAGCACTATCCTTCCATTTCCTGACCAAGCTTGACAAGACTTTCTGCGACACTAAAATGAGTTCAGCGAGTTTCCGAGTGAGCTTTTCTTCAACACGTGCGTGCAAACTTCCTTGCTCAGTGAGGTCTCAGCTAGGTCAAAACAAACCCTGACATTTGTTGGCGAGAGAAAATACACATTAGTTCATGAGAGTGGACAAAAACTGAAGCCTAGCATACGCAGGAGGTCACCACGCAACTCCTGCATGCCAGGTGGCTACAGAGTGATGCTGGAAGGAGCGTGACCCGGGGCTGAGGGAGGAAGCAGAGCTGTCCAAGCTCCAGATTTGTTATGCTCCCTTTGTCATGCCTCTTTGGCCGCAGGGATTTGACTTGGCTTTTCGGCATCACTATGTTCATATGTTGAAAAAGTGAAAACAAACTTGCAGTGCTCTGGGGCTTCTTCAGAGTGTGCCGTTAGAAAGCTGCTGTGACGTTCAG